GAACTTGGACCAAGTTCTAGCACCGTGGATATTGGCCTTTATGCACGCTCGTACATTTTGCAAGTTACAAATCGAATTACGCGCCACGATCAGCGGATGAAAAGTTTGAGAATCACTGGCCTCACGTGAGTAACGAAAGGAAAATGAGAGACGCGTGTGTGCGTTTGAATTTGAAAACATCAACTGTCTGTTAAAATTGGTTAGTAATGTCGTGGATTGTTCTGAATTATTCGAATGGAAAGCGCAGATTTTTGAAACTCGCGAACCGACGCTTGTGTCACTGCGCTATTGTCAGCTTCTTTTCCTGCTTCCAGGTTTCCGAAGTAAAACCGTTTCCCCCGCGAGTTCCGTTGTCAAGAGAAGACATAACCTCCGAGCGTTCCGATGGCCAACAATTCTGTGGTATGTATTCGTGCCAGCGGCATGAAAGATTCGAAGGACGTTTCCGTTGTCAGTCCGAAGATTATCGTAGTTTTCTACAGCGGTGCTCGCAACGCTCTTACGAATTATTTTTGCCGTAGACCACATTTAAGAATCTGCAAATAGACGAACGACTCAGGAAACTGGAACGCTCCTTGAAACTGGTCGCATTGCGACAGGAAAGCGGCAAGAGTACGCACGACGGGAAGACACCGTCCGTGACAACCTGGCCCAGCATCTCCAGCATTAATGCAGACACTTTGGATTCCAGCTGTGCCACCCCGGCGCACCAGAGTTCGTTTGTCAAGAGCGAGGTCTTGGGCTACAGCAGCAACCTGAGAAACGTGCTGTTGAAGAAGAACAGCCGTAATCAAGAAGCGATGACTACGTCCAGTGTTAAGCAATGGCACGGTCAGCAAAACAATTGCGTCGACCGGGGTCTTATGCCACCCCCAGCGAATGGTGTGGTTTGTCGCATCTCTAGGGAGTCACCGGGCTCAGCTTGTGCGTTGCCCACTTACGAAATGGCGTCGACCGCGCCTAACAGATTCGTGGAGCCTTCCAAGGCGAACGCGTTATCCTCGAAGAGTGCTCCTAGCTGGATATCCACCAATACGAATGCTGACGGGGAGTATTTCAATGTCTCTGCGTCGATTCCTACCAATTGTCAGGTGATTGGCAGGGTGTTTTCAAATTGGAGAGTTACGTTGAACAACCAACACGAGTTAGTAATTAGAGGGACGCTTGAATGGTGAGCACAGATGCGCTACTCTCGATTAACATCGCTTCAAGTGTTTGTGATCGCTGATTATTTACGATGTCTTTGCAGCGGGAAGTACGCACATAGCAAACCGGTTGTAAGAAGGCACTCTGCGACATGCGTCGAATCCAAATACATGAACAGATATATTCTACGAGGAAATATTGTCGACGAGAGAAATAGTAATGACTTTTGCGCAGATTTTTGTTGTTGAAATTACATAGAGATTACACGAGATAAGGTTTCTAATGTGAGACAGCGGGTTTTCAACGCCTAAACTCAATCGCAAATCTTTTTTCGCAACGATTACACGATCTAATCTAACAATGAATTTTCCCACTGAACAGATTTCGCTCCAAGGGCAATAAATTCATCGGCGGAATCAACCGATGATGCCTATTAATTTAACAGAAACCCCGCTATCTCGTACTAGGATCCTGTCTCTTAACAGGAGACTTTCCTCTACTAATAAATTTAACAATTTATATAGGATTACCGGATTATGTGCGCGGGAAATTTTTCAATGGCTTTCCTGACGATTGGGAAAACGTTTATCAAATATGGAGAGCGTACGTCGACCAAGGATACCCTGTGACGTTTCATTGGCCCACTCGTATTACTGACAGCGACGACGATTTAAAGAGCGAATTGACGGATTTGACTTGTACACTCGCGAGAAAGAACCCAACTATTTCTGCAACGAGAGACTCTTGTAATGGGAATACTAAGACTGGAAATCTAAACAGTACGCATGAAAGGAAGGAGAATTATCAGAACGCCTCCACTCGCAGTTTGCCACATCGTGAAAGAGATACTCGGTCCGCGAAGCCTGTTATTCCTAACTCGGAAAAGGATGCGATTCCCGTCGTGCAAACCAAGAGTACGAGGTCGCCGCGCGACGAGGCTAACAAAGCAAATGTTAGGACGGATACAAATTTACCGTCAAATACTTGGAACGTCACGAAATTGAAGGACTTTCTTCGGGAGGACAAACTGAAAATCATTATCGACAATTTGGAGGACAGGAATTGCTCCGCGAGGTATATCGACAAGATTCTCGAGCTGCTTTATTGCCTGGATTATGCGGTGTCGTACAGAACGAGATCGGAGTGCGGTGACTCGGTGGTTTCCGGGTCATTGATTTCCGAAGGGCCCTCGAAAGCGATATCGCTACAACCGAATTTAGTATGCAATGGCGATCTCGCGGACAGTAACAGATTTGAAAACGACCTGACGAAAGTGAAGAGCTACGGACACTCCACCGATCTGGGATACGGAAGCATAAGAAGTGATTCTCGTGTCATTCAGGTGTCGAACCCAGTGAGCAGTAAACCCTCGGGACACGGTGAGGACTTGGACAAATCAGAGAGCGAGACCTACGCGGGCGTACCCAAGATATCGATCGAACGAGTTTTAAAAGCTCGAGAAACGTCCGGTAAGGTATACAAACGTAACGTGAGAAAGAAAACGATTTATCCGGATGCACCGAAGCACGCATCGAGTCCGCCGCGCGACGAGCCTGTCCACGTTGCGGGTTCAGTTGCTAACAATAAAAATTTACTTTCCGACGAGTCTGGCGTCAGCATCACGGAGGACGAAGTGGAGGCAACGAGCGGCGTGTGGGAGTGTCGCCAGGCAACAGACGTTACTCAAAGAACACAAATGACGTTCTCCAGTCACCGAGAGAGGAATAATTTCGATGTGTACGGGGGAGGCAAATCTAAAGCGCGTGTGCAAAACGTCGAACCGTTCGATGCTTCCGAGGCACAAAGAGCGAACATGAATGTTTTTATAAGGAAACAGGAAGTTCCTTGCAGGGATGTTGAAGCGAGCGGGGGGCGGCAACGGTTTATCGCAGACGTCGACTACACCGTCAATTCTGACATCGACGTTGTGGCCGTGAGCACGAAGTCACAGAAGACCGGCGGGAGTTCGATAACGTCGGGCGCTGAGGCGGACGAAGAGATTAAAATAGTCGAAACGAATGGCGATTCTGTCGAGAAGCGCCTCGCCTCCCCGAAGTCACGTAAAGAGTTCATCGAACAAATGAAAAGTGAGCTTGCGAGGAAGCGACTTAAACCGACTATAGTCAGTTCGGTACCGGTGAATTTAAACGTGAAAATACATGATGCACCCTCGAAGGCCAGACAACCGGACGACACCAAGATAAATGTGAGGAACGGGGATAAGCAGGATGCAAATATTCGGCCGTTGGAAGAAACCGATAAGAAGAAATCTACGTCGATCGCTACGAAGCCTACGACTGACGACTTTCATTCGAAGGCAACAACGGTCGGGACAGTCGCCACAAAACCTGCGATTGATGATTCTCGCTCGAAGACAACGGCGGTCGAAACGGTTAATAAAAAAGAGATTGTCCCGACGGCAAGTAACAAAAAGAAATCGGACGACACGAGTCCCACTAATTCGATGACTGATTCAACAAAGGAGCAATCTAAAAGCAGCAAACTCGGGACTGAGAAGAATCCCAAAGTACTGACCGCGTGGGTGCCGAAAGTAGTGTATTACGCGAAGTCGAAATCTGAATTGGGTTTAACTTTTCAAGGGAAATTACTCAAGTAAGTTATTTTAGATAATATGCTTTATAATCAAACGATTATGTAATAACTATGTAATCATCATATCATAACCGGCTCTACAGCCCCAAGTGGGCCCTGGCCTTCACAACAAATTGCCTCCATCCGAGGCTCATTGTGTGTATTCGCAACAGTGAGTTTTTACGGGGTCGTTAGCCTCTCGCCAACCCTCTTTCCGGAGGACGGATATGTGTGGCAGGGTACTCTCGGTAGTTGCCACTTCTTCAGAGAGAGAGAGAGAGAGGGGGGGGGGGGGGGGTAGCGTCCGAAAAAACCTGCGGTATCCGTGGATTTAAACTCGGATCTTCTCATTCATTTGTTTACTAAGCAGCGCACATTTCTCTGCGCCACGCTCGCCGCACTAGCCACACTAATTTAATTGTGTAATATTTTATATAATTAATAGACGTTAAATTATTTTGTCTATTATAGCGAAGCTGGCCACGTTGTGCACAGGAACTTTACGACGAGTATCGTCGCGAAGCGATTGTCAGCGACGCTAATCAAAACAGTGAATAATGAATTTTATCAGCTCGTTGGATATGTAAACGACAGCAAGCACAGTAAAGTATCCAAAATTATTTTCTGGCATTAATTGAACGTTGAGAAACATTTGTCAATTAAGAATATCGCTTTATTGCACTTAGCTATTCCGAAGGAACTGGTAAAACAATGTCGTAACGGATGTCCTACGAAGATTGAGCAATTTTGTCTGACTTGGAAAAACGTGCACGGTAAGTCTCTTAAAATATGTGTCGCTTTCAATAAATATAATAAATACGTGTTCTATGCGTTACAATCATTTTCGTTTCCTAGATAATGTTGAAATAGTTAAAGAGACATCTCAGGATACAACGATAGAGTCGTTGAATGGACCCGTTAGTTCGAGGGGCCGTCGTATCTTACCTCCGTTATGTTTCTGGGAAGGTGAATAGATTAAAAATCGAAATATAGATAGTTTTTGAGAGAGAGAGACTCTATGTAAATAAATTAAACTATCTTTTTGCTGTTATACAGGTGAGCGTGTAACTGTGAAAGATAACAATTTAATTTATACTCCGGGCAATTCACAGGAATCGTTACTTTTGCTGACTAATAACTCAAAAGAGGTTCAAAAAGATACCAAGGTAAAAGTTATTATAACTTACAAATGTATTGCCTTTATAACGCTTATAATTAATGTATATATTTATTTCTTTGTTAAATGTAGAATACTGAAGAAAGAAAGAAGCAGAAAGTGAATACACCAAAGAAACAGAATGTAAATGAGCAAACAATGACGCTCGAATCGAATAAGACTTCTGGTGCACACAAAAGTCAAGTAAGTTCCTAGAATTCCGCGAAACATAAAAATCAGATTTATGGATTATGTGCATTCTTTTAATTTAAACGATTCTTACCAAAAAGGTTCCAGCTTCCAAAAAGTCACCTAAAACTGCAAATGTAAGGAGGTCCCTCAACAATCGCCGAATAGTACAAAAGTTGTTCTCGAGCGTTGAGTCCAGCGACGAGGAGGAAAAAGTATCTCCGCGAAAGGTAACATGAAAGTTAATCAAAGTGAAAACGAAGTCATTTGTCAAGCGTGAAACTATACTCTATATGTTACCATGCAGCGTGTGCACAATTCTCGGACTAACGAGAATATAGATCCAGAAGCACGGTCTACTATGACATTAAGGAAACGGCCAAAGGTAGAACCAGCCTCGAATAGAATTTCACGTAACACCAGATCAACCAGGTAATGTTTTTTTATTCAATGCATTCTTTTATTTGAACATTACATTTACATTGTGATCCGCATTATTCAGGCAACACGCAGCCTACTGTTCGCCAACAAAGAGACCCGAAAGCGAGAAACTGTTTTATTATTGTAAAAATATTCCACAATCAAAGGACTTTCTATCAGAGAGTGAAATATCATTTGTATAATCTCGAATAGTGATTTCATGCTATTATATTTTTTATATGTATATCGATAGACTTTTGACAAATACGTAAGTTAAAAAAAATAGTTTGCTATATATTTCTTATTATATGTATGTTTTGTTTATAGTTCTCTTTAGATATTAAGGGTGCATTCGAGGAGTTTACTATCAGCGCTATTTAGGTGAAAACGTCGTTCTATGCATGTTGCCTATTATACTATAATACCTTAGCTTTCGATTTTCCCCTCGTTTTACAAATATTAGTCCCAGCTCAAGAAAATGTTTCCAATATTATTTTTCATATTTTGTCAACAAGTAATGGCACTTTTTTACTATGTTGTAATAAATTAAAAATTCATTTCTACAATACCGTAGCTTTTGATTTTCCCCTCGTTTTACAAATATTAGTCCCAGCCCCAAAAAACGTTTCCAATGTTATTTTTCATATTTTATCAAAAAGTAATGGCACTTTCGTATTATGTTGTACCAAAATTAATATTGTAGACCTCGTGATTTTGGTAGATGCAAAAGTTATCAAGTAAAGAGAACGTTATATAGTCTAGAGTCTAGACGAATAAAATATCATTTAACTTTTTTCGACATATAATAGGCAACAGACATAGAACGACGTTTTCACCTAAATAGCGCTGATAGTAAACTCCACGAATGCACCCTTAATATCTAAAGAGAACTATAAATAAAACATACATATAATAAGAAATATATAGCAAACTATTTTTTTTAACTTACGTACTTGTCAAAAGTCTATCGATGTATGTCTATAATTATTATAGACATACATTCGATGCATGTCTATAATTA